CGAGGTGGCCGCGGTACTTGAGCCAGGGCCCCGCCATTGAGATGTGGTCCGTGGTGCACTTGCCCTTGACCTTGATGAGCACGGCCGCGCCCTCAATGTCCTTGCCGTCCCAGGGCTTGAAGGGCTCCAGCAGCTGCAGGCGGGTGCTGGCCGGGTCCACGTCAACCTTTGTGGGGGGGGGGTGTCGTTGCAGATGGTGTTGGGCAGTTGTGTGCTTGTGCGCGGGCGTGTGTTCGTGCCAAGGTGTGTTTGCGAGCTCGTGGGGTTGTCAGTGTGTGCTCGCGCGTGCTTGCGTGGTCATGGGGAACGTTGGCTCGGTCAAAGGACACACAAGAGGAGAGGCGCATGGTCGGGGCTCAGAGGTTGCTGTATGAATAGGTTGTCTCGACACGCTTTGGATTCAGGAGTCGATCCTAAGGTGATTAGTCATCACAGCACCCGACCAGCGATGTCCGCACAGCCACTTGGACGGCAACACACACTACGCAGCAGGCCCGCATGAAAACATTGAAAACCAACAGGATCGGGAGCGTGCGGGCTCGGCGGGGGCAGCGCCGCGCGAATCCCAGCAAGGGCACACGCAGGGACCGCGCACGCGGCCGCGCCGGCCGCGGCCGCGCCCCGGCGGCTGGGGCGCGGTCTGCCCACCTTGACGGACGCCCTGGTCTCTGGCGCGGGGGGCGCCTGGTAGGTGTCGGCCCCGGGGTCAAAGCCCTTCTCTGGCAGCTCGTCGCCGTAGGGGCTGTCCAGCTTGACCTCCTTGCCGTCGGCCCCCACCAGGGCGTCGGTCTCGGGGTTGAACGTCAGGTCACCTTTGGGGGGTTGGGGGCGGGGGTGGCGATGACGATGCGGGGGTTCAGGGTGGGATCGGTTTGCATTTTGCAGGGTGCGGCGCTTTCAACGAGGCGGACCAGGCGGGGAAGGAAGAGCTCAGCGAGACGGGCTGGGCGCGGCGCAGGGCGCGCGCCGGCCGGCGGCACCGGGTCGCGCGGCGGCGGCGGCGGCGCAGGCGGGCGGGCTGGCTGGCAGCAGCGCTGGCGGCCCCCCGGCGCACCCGCGATGGCAAAGGCCGTGACGATCTCTGGTGAGGCCACGAAGGCGTGTGTGGCGGGGTTGCCGTCGTTGCGCGCGG